AAATTGTATAAAAATGTAAAAAAAATTTATTGATTTTTTTTCGCATGTAATGCATGTTGTCTTTACTACCGAGTGCACCAAAAAAAAATGGTTTCTCTTCATCAATCGGTTTGTGCTACGATCTTTAATTGCAGACATACACAGCTGATTTGCGAGATCTATCAAAAACCTTCTCACTGTACCAATTAGTGTCATGTTCCAGGAGTTCAATACCTCAGCCAGTTCCATAGTTGTGAAGTAGTTATCATGGATTATGGCAGAAACTAGTACAGCGTCACTATCTCTCATGCTGACTTTGTAGATGAATTTTGGCTTTGTAATTTAGTTCAGTAACACGTGGCAAGTAGAATGAAACTCGATTCAAAAGTGCAGATAAAAAAGTAAATTATTTCTAGATATAATTATTTACAAATGTCATTTTCATTCCATTATCGACTTTTTCGACTAGTATGAAAATTGTAACAGGGCCACCATCTTTATTTTGTACAGAGTATAAGTAAAACATCGTAAAACACTATGTAGATACGAATTATTATTAATTTTTCTTATAAAAATCATGTCTGTTGGGATAAGTATCGTACAAAACATATAAAGGTATAATTGTACCTATGCAGCCTGTTAACGTTGTAAAATTATGCAGCCTGGCAAGGGTTAAAATCGTCTTTTAAATGCAGGTTTTGGCAATATTTTGATGACTTATAGTCTCCAGATTTTATGAAATTTGATTCGTGACAAACTGATTTAAACAGTTGTGAAATGCGTCATCATCATCCGACACGCAGCTGCTAATTGTAAGGGACAACCAGTCTCTCACTGATTCAATAATCAAAGGATACGGGTTGTTATCTTTCCATGTTAACGGATGTCTTAGGTCAGTTGCGATGGGATGTTGTTGCGTACCATTTGTAGTTTCCATTGTAGTGTTGTGTTCAGCTCCTTGATAACCGACAGCACGTGTTTCAGTTTGTGATCAGTTGTTTTTTGATTTCGGTGTCGCCTCTATCTAAATCACAAATTTTACCCTGGTATGTGACAAGATGATTCAATTCAATATGCCGGATTGCTGTCGTCGATGGTTAGTCTTGGGGAACAGTCTTTCTATTTGCCGCTTTTTTTTCTTATGCCGAATGAACCACATTTGTCTACCCTGATGCACGCACCATTTGCGTTGCACCAGGCTTCGTTCGTATCAATTAATTTTTGGGCACTGACTGTGCTGTTTGTGATGATAAGGTGTCATCAGCAAATTAAAGCCATGCTTGGACTTCGAACTGGCTGTGGGCCCCCATATGTAGCCGCACTGTTATTAATAATAATAACAATAACAATAATAGTAGTAATAACAATAACGGTTTCTCTATCATTTTTATCTCCAACCCGTCATCATTCGCATCATCATCATCATTCACATCATCTTCATAACCATTTACATCATCTATGCCATTTATATGATTATTATCATTTATTTCCTCATCATCATCACCATCTTGACAATTTCATACGTGTATTTTTGTTGTTTGTCATTGATGTACACTTTCTGTACTTGCTACTCCGCCTTCATCATGTCATCATCTTTATCATAACATCATCGTCATCAACACCACCAACAACAACACCATCATCATCAACATCATCATCAACAACATCATTATCAACAACAGCAACAACACGATAATCATTATCACAACACCAGGGTTGGCTGGACAAGATAAACGACAAATATTTGAAGAAAATCCTACAGAGGGATCCATTTACGAAGGACGAGATCATCATGGAGGTTTATCAACAGATTGCTCTCCAGTTAGTTCTTGATCATCTGTGGTGTCTGTCTGTTTGTGTGTTTGTTTGTGTGTGTGTGGTATGTGTGTGATGCTATGATGGTGTGATTATGTGATGATGTTGATGTTATGGTCTGATGGAGAGGTGATTGATGATGTGATCATGCTGATATGTGACCATGACCATGTGATAATACAAAACCCTTTATAAATAATAAATGAACACCAACGAAAATGACTGCAGACAGCACTACGAGTCAGTTTACGGTGTGGACATGTCCAGTTCTCTGCAGCTCTACAGACCTGAGTTAGTGTAACATTTGTGGTCGTCATCCTTTTTGTCACAGTGGTTGTGATGGTGGCAGTTCGATGATGATAACTGTAAATAACATTAATGAAATATTTTATAAATAACATTAATAAAATATTTTAGAGTTTAAATTGTTGCAATGCGAGAAATAATTTAATTAAACATTGTCCGACAAAGAATTATTGAGAAACTTCCGAGTGAACCAGCGAGTCCTGAGAACGCCAACAACCCCTCCGTTGGCACCGTTGAGGATGTCGGTTGGTTGCTTGTTGTTGCGCTGCTGTTCTGCCTCCATCTCATCATCGTGTCATTCTTCCTTTCGTTTCGCCAGCTATTTATTCATCCATCATTCATTCATTTTTGATTTTTGTCATTTATTCTTGTTAATTATTCATTCCCCATTCATTTATTGCTGGTTGTTATTTATTTCTGTTCCTTTCGCTCATTCCAAAGTTCGCAAATTATTATTTCGCGCATTTGTTTTGTAAGAAATTGATCAGTTAAATTTGGTGCAACTTTAATTCCCACGCCACTCATCACTCATTATCCAACATCAACCTCTTTGTTGCCATCGTTACCATAACAACCACCATCACCACCACCATCGCCACCACCACCGTCCACAGTGGCACGTCTGATAATGAGCAAGAGACGGAGGTACCTGTCAGCAGCGAGCACGGACAACGAGGAGGACCAGCCACTGACAGGTTGGGGGGGCGGGCAGTATGGAGTCTACAACACCGTCATGGGCCTGCCACCGCATGTCGCTAAACATCTTCAAGTTTGTTTCCAGTTGTCTTCAGTCACGTCTGTTGTTGTGGTTGTTGTTGTTGGTGGTGGTGTGCTTGGTCTATTTTGTTTTTTGAATTGTGCTGTCTTACTATTAATCATTGATTCTCAAGTTTTTTGCTAACAAATCGAAATCAATCAGCCTATTCATTAACAATTGACCACTTCATTCAAGCAACAACTACCTCACCAATCCAACAAACAATCAATCAACAACCATCAGCCAATTAACAACCAATCAGCAACCAATTGTGCAACGAATCAACAACTAACCTCGACCAATCAACAACCAAACAGTTAGTCAGTTAACCAATCGCTATCCACACACAAACACACCACAGGCAGCCAAACTGGCCAAGAGGTCAAATTCAGTTGACCAGGATAAAGAGACAAAAGTTCAAAATCCTAGGTCGAAGTGGCAGCAAGCTAGGCATGATAGATATCTTTCATTTTTATGTTTTTTTTTTGTTTTGTCTTTGTTTTCATTTTTTTGTTTTTATTTTGTTTTTATCGTTTGCAATTTTTTTTTATTCCTTTGTTATTCTTTCACGTAAAAATTATCTTAGTAGAGTCGGTTGTTGATTAGCATATGCGCGTTGGGAATTCTCAATAATCTTCATGTTGCTTGCTGCTTGCTCGGTATGCGAGGATCAAATAAACGATTGAGACATCATCATTCGAAGCCGTCACTTGCTGAGTGGATATATAATTGGACATTATTAAATAAAATGCACCGCTGAACCATGCAATCTCTTTCAAAAGACTGGATTAAAATAAATTGAAAAGTTTCATTATCGCAAGGGATTAGATTGTTTAAGTTGTATTTCTTATGCATCATTCGTTATCATGATTTAATTTTTTTTATTTTCAAGATTTTTATATTTTTTAAATTACCTTAGACCCATTTGAAGGGTGTTCAGTTAACTGTTTTAAAACTGTAGAACTGTTTTAAAATCTTTCCAGTTTTCCGACATCACCCTCACAAATCACCAAACACGAACAGAACGACAGCAACACACCACTTCCCAAAGACCATTAAAATTTATTTCTCTTGAAACTAATCTGAACGAACGCTTATTATTTAATTGCGATGAGTTTTTATAACCCAATCTATTTGTTAATGTCTTCATACATTTTGAAAACTTTCCAACTAGTAGGTCAATTTTAACCAGTTTTTTAAATAGTTACAAATTAATTTTTAATTTTAATTATATTTCATTTACAAAACGATCGCGATATTATAATAGAATGATATAATAATCAAACAATAAACCAAACAATGAATGAATGGATGAATGAATGAATGAATGAATGAATGAATGAATGAATGCATGAATGAATGACACAGGAGCAAGATCATCCGTCGTCTGAGTACGTCACCCGTCGATAACCCCCTCATCACCGCCCCTAACTCCATTCAACTGCGGAAGATGATGATTAAGGCTCCTACCAAAGATGTGAGTTAGTGAGTGGGTGAGTGAGTGGGAGAGTGAGTGAGTGAGTGAGTGAGTGAGTGAGTGAGTGAGTGAGTGAGTGAGTGTGAGTGAGTGAGTGAGTGAGTGAGTGAGTGAGTGAGTGAGTGAGTGAGTGAGTGAGTGAGTGAGTGAGTGAGTGAGTGAGTGAGTGAGTGAGTGAGTGAGTTACCATTTTCATCGTCTCCATTATTTGCATCATTGCAGGCCTTTGCCAGACGAACGGACAGAAATTTGAAGGAGGCGGATCGCGGTGACCTTCTGAATCTGCTGAACGAGAAACAGATGAGACACAACAGGTTGGTTGGTTGGTTGGTAGGTAGGTTGGTTGGTTGGTTGATTGGTTGGTTGGTTGGTTGGTTGGTTGGTTGGTTGGTTGGTTGGTTGGTTGGTTGGTTGGTTGGTTGGTTGGTTGGTTGGTTATGATGAAGGTGTTAGTGATTAATGTGGCTTTGATGATGAAGATGATGATAAGACTGGTTGTGATATAATGATAAGACTGGAAATAATGGTAATATTTTTTTTTCTTGACTATTTCTGCTATACAAAGAAGGTGTTTTCTACTTCCGATTATTTATTTGTGGTACATTTCTTCGAATTAATAGCTAATGATCTGCTTAGCAATTCATTTTGCTACTTTCAATCCTTTTTCTATTATCACAGCAGTGCAGTTTTCAAATCTCTATCTGCTTTTTAAAAGACTTGTTCACGTTTTTCTGGAACATTTTCTACCCCATTTTCCGGCCCAACTTTTTTGTTCTGTTCACTTCCCAGACACACAATTTTGTTATTTATTTTTGTTTTTTCTCGATTCAAAATACAGACTGCAGTTGTTTGTCAATTTTAACATTTTTGTCTTGCTTGTATTAATGTTCAAATGGTGTGTATTTCAATTTGAAACGAGTTGCCAGATGTCTGTAATGGTGGTCCTAATGTTGACTGATGTGGTGACCAGAAAATTGAATGATTTAGTTACGGATGCACACGTAACATTCAAAAATAAATAATCAGATGTGATTGAAATATGTCTTAATGGGTGCCTTCGTGAGGCTTTCCACAAAGTCATCCTCAATTTTTATTTGCAGGTTCATAAAGGGGCAGAGTGGATTTACATCAAACATCAACACTCCGATCGTCAACAGATCCAGAGCCGAGAGTCTTGGTGTGGTTTTCTTTGATGTTGTTGATACTGGCTGATGTCGTCGTTGTTTTTGTTTGTGTTGCTGGTGATGATGTTGTGTGTGTTGTTGGTGATGTTGTGTGTGTGTTGTTGGTGATGATGTTGTGTGTGTTGTTGGTGATGATGTTGTGTGTGTTGTTGGTGATGTTGTGTGTGTGTTGTTGGTGATGTTGTGTGTGTGTTGTTGGTGATGTTGTGTGTGTGTTGTTGGTGATGTTGTGTGTTGTTGGTGATGTTTTTTTGTGTTGTTCTATCGCTGAAGTTATTTTTTGTTATTTAGTTATATTTCTTCGTCGTTGTTGAAGAAATTGTTGTCAATGAGTTGTTCGAAATATATCAATTAACAGGAATCTTCTAAACAGATATTGCAGCAAGATATCACACAATCCACCAATCAATCGACCGACATATCAATCAACCAGCCAAACAACCAACCGATCAATTTATTACCAACCAATCAACCAACCAATCAATCAACCAACCAATCAATCAACCAATCAATCAACCAACCAATCAACTACTCACTCACCCAATCAACAGACGAGATATCAGCAGAGGAGGGCAAAGCACGTCTGAGAAGCAACACGCATGGTCAGTTGCTGCTCAGGAAGAAAGTTAAAACCGTCGACTTTGAAGAACCTGGTCAGTTTTTTGTTTGTGGTGTTGTTGATCAGTTTGTTACTTGTGGTGTTGTTGGTCAGTTTGTGTGGTTGTTGGTCAATTTGTTTGGTTGTTGGTCAGTTTGTTGTTTGTGTGGTTGTTGGTCTGTTTGTTGTTTGTGTGGTTTTTGGTCAGTTTGTTGTTTGTATGGTTGTTGGTTAGTATGTTGTTTGTATGGTTGTTGGTCAGTTTGTTGTTTGTGGTTTTTGGTCAGTTTGTTGTTTCTGTGGTTGTTAATCGATTTGTTGTTTAATTGGTTGTTGGTCAGTTCATTATGGCTAGTTAATTTCCACGTCGTTAAAATACCCTCCGACAGAGCCCCCAGCAACATTACTCGCCCCTCACACCGCGGCAATCCACTACACTCCTCGCTACCAACAACGACGGCCCACCAGTTCCCACGGAATCATCCACCCACACGTCCCACACACCGTCATCACACCTGCCGAACGAAAGCGATCGAGCAGCGGTGGAGGTACACTTGCCGGAAGTGGCAGCTTGGGAAATCCCGGCGAGAGAATGTCCAGCATTGGAAAATCCCCGATCTCGTTGCAGTACATCAACGAGGAGCAGGAGCAACCTCAGCAACCTGTCGAGGAAAGTCCCCTGAAGGCATACAACCGGAAGATGGAGATGGAGGAGGAGGAGATGGAGAAGTTGAGGGAGGAAGATAAAGGAGAGAAGGATGGAAAGAAGGAGAAAAATGGAGATGGTGATGTTGGAACCGAGAGTGATGGTGATGATGGTGATCACAGTGGGGTGAGTGGTGTTGGTGGTGAAGTTAAGGTCAGGACGCCATTGAAGAGGCAAGATGCTGGAGAAAGAGCGCCTAAACAGAAAACTGACGAGAAGAGTTTGTGATGATGAAAATAAATAATGATGATGATGAGGATGAAGATGATTAGGAGGAGGAGGAGGAGGAAGATGAGGATGATGAGGAGGAGGAGGATGATGAAGATGATGAGATTTGTGGTGGCGATAGTGTTCATAACAATGAAGCTGTTTGCATGTAAAGCTGTAATAGTGTTGATGTGATTGTAATGAAAGAATGAAAGAAATTAATAATGATTTCCGTGTGGATGGTGTTGATGTGATGTGGGGAGGAAGTTTTAATCATGGGTGGAAATTTGCGGGTCGAAAATATCACCATCTGCAAAAGCAAACAGGAAGTATTTAAAAAACGAAGATGATGATGATGATGATGGTGGTGGTGGTACTGATGATGAAAATGACGAGACGATGATGAAGCTGGTGACAGAAACGCTTCATGGTGACTGAATGTTCATGATTAAACTAGTTTACCAAAGATGC